GCAGGGGTCAGGATCTAAGCAGTTTCTTCTGGACATGACCAGAAGCCTATATTCATAAGCTCATAGCAGCTGTGAACAAGAATAAGCCATCAACACCCCAACAAGGAGGAAGAAGGAGTTTGTGAGCCCCTGACCCCTAATGAAGGAGCTCTGGAGAGCTGATGGCCTCTGAGGAAGGAGGAGTCTGTCTTCTTTTCAGGTGTGGCCACTGACAGATCCCATGTTCCAGTGGCTGGACCCACACCCCCGACTCTACGGGCAGCACAAATCTGACTTATGAAAGAATAGAGAATAAAAAGACACAAAGTTATGTGTGGATATGGAGGAGTTAGGGGGAAGGAACAGGAGCGAATGGAATTAAAAAACATTACGGAATTCTCAAATTGGAAAATATGCTCTTGGGAATAACTTTCCCCTCTGGAATCTCTGTGTGATTGCATATACTATTCACAGTAGCTTCCCTTGAGGCAAGGAAGGAATCTAAGAGGCCTGCTACATTCCTGCGAAGGTGTGGATGTTGACAACTCCTCCCTTTGGATGGTGAGTGTGTGCTGACAGCTGCACACCTCACATTAGTCCATGACACTCTGTTACTCCATCACTTCTCGAGAAGGAAACTGCACGGCAAATTCAAAGACAAGAGACAGTGTTTTTCTAAAGATGTCCTATATACATATTTATATATACATATATAGTATTTTATTTAAAATGTCATTTAGCATATACAGTTTTTGAGATTTTTCCAGGGGACATTGCACCTAAGTTTCAAAACACACAAAATAGATCCCCTTTACTAAACAGCTCTCATTTGGGGTTTACAAAAGTCAATACTTCACAATCACAAAGCCTAAAGATACATGGTTCGGTAACCAATTTCCAGGCAGAATTCTCTCAAGTCACTGTACGAAGAGTAGTTTCGGAAACCCAGACTGTCACATACAGATTCTCACAAATGATCCTTACTAGGATTTCCAAAGAAACAAAGGAAATTAGAGGCAGAACAGGAGCGAAGGAGTAACTGCTCATCTAAAGACAGAGCGGAGGAGCTGGGGTCACAGCCTCCATCTTCAGCACACCTACCGCTGAAAACAACAGTTCATTTACAGCCTTATTTGGTCACTTTGAACTCGAATGCTACATGAACAAAACATCACCTAGGACACAGAAAAGAAGTACTAAAGCTATTTACACAGATAACATTATGAATTAGGAAGAAGCAGAACCCCTCAAAAGGCATTCACATCTTGCCACGAGGCTTACAGAAAGGGCCATGAGGCTTACAGAAGAGGCCAGGAACTCAGGCTGCTCCTGCGGTGTCCTCTGTAAGTTCCAGTGTGCGCACACATGCCACATAGCACCCAAAGTCTGCTCACAGAGGTGGGCTGCGTCTACAGGCTGCCATACTTCTCTGTACTTAGGAGCCCTTACTTTCGTGAGTCCTGTGGCTGAAGACTCTCCTAGTCCATTGCATCTGGGAGGGTCAGTCTTGTTCTTTCCTTGCATAGACAATTTCATTGCCTTCTCCAGCTTGCCCTAGGAGCACTGACTCACTGAAGTCAGCATTTCATCACAGCACACATACTCTGAAAACATCAGCGGTCCTGGCTCGCTGAAGGAAAGGCGATACCTTCAAACCGGTACACACCGCAGCATCTGCTGCTAGTTCCCTCGCAAACACAGCAGACACGAGAAAGGAGCAAGGGAAGGGAGCACAAGGAGAGTCGGTGTTTTACAAACAGATACTTCCCAAAGGAGTGTAAACTAGTGACGTCCTGGGGATACTGAACTCCCTGCCCAAATGGCCAAGGTCTGGAGTGAAATTCGGCTCCTGAGACTCTTATTCCTGCTCATCAATATACACCTCTGGGTATAATTCCCCTCTGGGAAGGGACTTGCAGAGGAGCGTGGTGGGAAGACACAGCCGGCTTCCTGCAGCCCCATGGAGAGTAGATGCGAGGAATTTAAAAAACTCAACATTCCAAACCCTCCAAAATTGAAAACTGTGGAAAATAACTGAATTGCTGACTTCTCTGGCTCGCCCCACTTAAAGAGCTGCGCATCTGGCCTAGCCCAACTGTCAGCACTCCCTGTCTGCCACAGAGGACAGTCACTGGGTCTACACAACCCCAGCAGGCCCTTTCATATCTCTGGCTGCTGACTTTGTGTGTCAGAGGAACAAGGCTTCAGTTTCCACCTGGTAAAGCACTGCAGAGTTCACACTCTTTAGGGAGGGGCCGCCAGTGGGAAGGGCAGAGGCTGGCTGAACAAAGAGATTTAGGGTTGTGGGAGGCTCTCATTAAAGGAAGTAGCCACGAAACCCCCAAGACACCCATAATGACTTGACTAGGAAATCAAATGCTTTTCATTACACAAGGCTTCCTCTGAGGCTATCAGGGCAAGCAGGTCCGGCTCTACATCAGACATACATGATTTCTAAAAACACATCGCAATATGTTCTGCAGAATCCTGAATGTGCTGTCTGTCTTCTGACCTTTCCAGGAATGTACCTGTTATACAGACTGTTTCTGTTTTAGGACCGGGTGACTTGGAGCCTGAGGGAACAATGAGACCCACACAAAGAAAGCCCAAAGCACAGAGCAATATCAGTGCTGGGCAGACCTGCCGTGGGCATTAACAAATCACTTTCCCCTTTTCATTTATTTATCTCATCTGTAGTTTTCTTCCCTCCCTCCCCATCCCCAACACAAACAGGGTTTTAGCCTATGACTAAGAGCTTTCCACGCATGGGGCCTCGTGAAGAGAATCCCTGGATACCTTTCCAACTAAAACCAAGCTGACTCCAGGCTTTAGGATCATTTGAATTTGGGTTTTCCAGGTTTTGTTTTGCTGATATGTGTTGCTGATACGTGTCTCAGCAGTAAATAAATTGGGAGAATGTTGTCAGGGTACCTACAAGATACTCACACTCAAATTCTGACTCTGGTGGCCTGAGTGTAATTAGAGAAGGTGAGACCCAGGGAGTTCAGAAAAGCAGGAATCTGAAAGGCATTGGGAACCTGGAAATGATTCCAAAGAGGGCGGCTCAGGTCCTCCACAACCTTCAAGGCTTTCTCAAGTTCCCCCTCTGTGCGTGAGTCTGAGAACTGGGCAGAAGTGGAAGAGAACCACACTGCTGTAGCACGCCTGAACAGTTTTCCATAGCCTCACATGCTGTCTCGGGAGCCAGTGGTCGCCACTGGCCACTCCCCAGAGACGCCTTGGGTGGGAAAGACTTCCTGAAGGAGGGGATGCACGGTCCCGACACGGCAGCTGCAGCCCAGTTCTCAGGCGACGAGTTGGCACACACTCAAGTATGTCACCTGCCGGGCTGGGTACTGCTTCTACACAGTGACTTTGTTCCTGAGTCGGAAGGCACCAGGCCTTTCCTAAGAAAATATCTACAATACCAGGAATGCGGATGACCTATCAGTCTGAGGAAATCTTCCTCTGCTCTCCTCAGGGGAGGAATCCTCATAAACACAAGCGCTGTAACCGCCTCTCAAGCATTTCAGGGAAACTACACCATTGGTCCTTCTCTTTACTGGTTTGGAAGTGTCCGAATGACACCAAATTATCATAAAGTCGATTATGTCCTGGAAGACTATAGGGGCAGGACTCTGTGATCTCTGGGCAGAGCAGCTGTCAGCCCAAGAGATGTGTGATTTTAAAACAGCACTTTGCTGTGCTGTTCCTCTCGGCAAGGAAGGAGGCAGATACCACGCCCACTTGCGTGCCATCACTTCGCTCACGGAGCATGCGCAGTGGGAAAGGGGTCTCGGCGCATCGGTGTCTCAGCATTCCCTTGAGGAATATGGTGGACAACTAACTCCGATTCAAACTTACTTTTATCCAAGTGTCATCCCATTTACCCTTGCACAGAGGTGACAGGAAGAGCCGCTACTTAGCGGAACTGTGATGCTTAAACCCCAGGTGGGAGGCCTGGAGAACAGTCAGCGGCCAAGGAGCCTGAATCCCACCTTCTTCCCTAATGAACTATGGTTGACTGATGGATACAAGAACTTCCTAAGCAGCAAGCTGCCGCTTCCTATGAGTCTCCAGGACACAGAAGGTGGGAGAGCACCACCAGTGCCAGAAACGAAAAGTCAGCCTCTCACAGCAGCATCTCCAGACACAGAGAGGGACCTTAAAGATAACAGAGGAGCTGTTGGTCCAGTGAAACACCCACATCCTGAAGCGAACATTGATCTGGTGAGAAAACACAACTCTGTGGGTAAATGTTATACAGCAAAGAAACTGTCACATGGGCTATGGCTCTGGACAAAACTATCGTGTGTATGGGACACAAGATGGGACACGCCAGATTGGGCTAGTCTCTGCTACGGGAACTGTCCAATGACATATTGCAAAGTCCTAGTGGAAGGGAATGGGAAAGATTCAAGGAATGTCAGAAAGGGGAAAAAAAAGTCTATGCCTCACTCCATTATTACCACAAAAGAATAGAGAGAACAAGGGAGACAGGAGCAGGGAGAAGGAAGGGGAAGCACAAGGCAGAATCCCTGAAATAACTTGAGCATACAACAATGAGTGCTCGTACTCTCTGAGGCATGGTTTCCAACTTTTCAGTGGGGTTCTGCACCCGAGAGAACCTGGCAGCCTGACAGGCTCAGAAGTCTCCTACCAGTAACACCTGGAATGGCTGTCCCTCCTGTTCTAGGTAAAATAAATAAATTTATGCCTGTGCCCCCAAACAGGCAGTAGCCACCTAGGAGCCCTACAGTAGAAACCAAGAGAAACATAACACTCAGTAGCAGGCTTTGTGTTTTGCTCTTATTCAGTGTCCAGACCCATTACCAAAGAAGAAATGGAAACCTAAGGGTTGCCTTGAAGCAAAGCCAGAGGCTTTTTGGCAGCAAATTCCCCATCTGGGCTGGGAAGAAATTGCATCACCTGGAATCCAGCCCAGGCACTCCCCAATTCCACCCTCCTCAGAGGCATCCCAGTTTTCTTCCCGTCTGTCCTCCCAGTCCCCTGGGTCCCTTTCATGACAGTTTGTTTCCATGTATTAAAGGAATGACATATACAGAAATGTCATCTCCTGAGCCCAGCCGGTCATTTGATATCCGCCATCCTCTGTCCTTCAGGACGCCTCGGGCACGCATCACCAGGTCCTGAGCTGCCAGTGTGTACCTGTGCAGGAAAAAGCAGGAATGAGACAGTCAGAGCAGCACGGGCAGACACAAGGCTGAGGGGCTGGGAAAGAGACATCACGATGGCCATCCATTTTCCAGTTACCTTTAAAATTAAACATTGCTACCATTAATTACAATATCACTACTACTGCTACTAATAAAGCTAGAGCCATCTTCTCATAAGCATGAGGCCTGATGTATGTCTCGGGTGGTAGTTGAGCTAGGTATTATTACATTAAATATCTCTTACATTATTCCGCTGTTCATCCTTTCTAGATGTTACGTATTGCAAAGGATCCAGAAGAATCCTAATTCAGTGTTTTTACACCTTAACAAAGATCCACACAAGTCCAGTTTTCCATGACAAAACAGTGTTTGGCTCAATAAGTACATGAAGGAAAAAGCAAAACAGGAACTTCTGTCTTCAATGTATTTATTTTTAAAAGCTATCTTTTTTTTTTTTTAAATCAAAGGGTAGTAGTTTGTTTTTCATTGATGGTTGTGGTAAACCTTCTTGAAAAGTAGGTTCAAAAAATTTAAAGAAAGATGTGAAAAATACTTCATGTGGTATAGGAAAATACCACATGAAGGATGAAGGGTGAAGGGTGTGAGTGATTGATAAGCCCTGGTGTGGGTGGGTTTCTCTATGCGCCTTTATTAGTGTTACGTTTTCCTATAGTTCATGTAAGGACAATGAGGGATCACTCAAGAATTTGAAAAGATGATTGTTCATTGAGATTCAAATGGTAAGCTTAATGAGAAAGGATGACACTGAGCTAGCAAAACCATGAACACATAGGAGAAGAAAGTGTAATGTAATGGGTTATTTGTGGGCATGGACTTCTGTTAGTTGTGAGGCATAAAAATAAAATCAAACACTGGCAGATTTCTCCCCAAATATTGATTGGTGTAGAGAATCTTAGCTGAGAGACTTCAAAGAAGTCCAGCAGGGCCGGACTACAGAGTTCAATGGATTAAGTTCCAAGTCTATGCCAGGAAATAAGCGGCTCATCTATTTCCCCCTGATTGCACGTTCACCAAATAACCTTCTGATTTTGACCTGCCTCCCTGCGTGCTTGGCTACCAGGAAAGAATATGCTGCTTTACGTGCTCTGAAAGCACCAGTCAGCTATATTTCTCTGCATGTCAACTGGCATTTTGGTTTGAAGATCAGTTTGTAAGCCGGGTTAAGGAAAGCCCAGCTCTGATAACAAATCTGAGACGTGTACCGTGATTAAATCATGTTTGGAACCTAAACAGCTATGAGACAGACTGTGACAAATCACCAAGAAAATAAATGTCACCTACGTAAGGCCTTTTGGAAGCCTGACTATAGTGTTTTGTTTTGTTTTTTTTTTTTTAATTTTATTTTTCTCATTAGTTACATTTTGTTAATTCTGTATCCCAGCTGTATCCCTCACCTCCTCCCTGCCCCTTTCCAAGTCCACTGATAGGGGAGGATCTCCTCCCCTTTCATATGATTCCATTTTGTCAGGTATTTTCAGGACTGGCTGCAAAGTCCTCCTCTGTGGCCTAACAGTACTGTTCCTCTCTTGGGAGGTGGGGAGGTCAAAGAGCCAGTCATTGAGTTCCTGTTAGAAATAGTCCTTGTTCCCCTTACTATGGGAAACCAATTGATTACTGAGCTATCACGGGTCACATCCGAGCAGAGGTTCTAGGTTTTATCCTCTCATGGTCTTTGGTTGAGTGTCCATCTCAGAAAAGACCCTGTGCCCAGATATGTTTGGTCCTTGTGGAGCACCTAAAGAAGATAATCAAGAAAGCGGACATGGGGTATGATGATCAATCCTCATTTAGAAAGACAAATGGGATATGCATTGAACGTATGACAGGAGTCTACCGCAGAAAGCATCTGAAAGACTCTACCTAGCAGTGTTCCAAAGTAGATACCAAGACTCATAACCAAACCCTCGGCAGAGTGCAAGGAAAGAAGGGGAGTTTGATGTGGAAAGGATAGGAGCTCCACAAGGACTATAGTGTTTTTTACAAGGCATCCATGACCTTTTCCCTGCTCAGGGTACCTCAGCTTTACCTTTGGAATCTTGGGGAAGAAACCTTCCCATGTGTTTCCTAATCCTCCTAAGAAGGTAGAGTGCTCAGGCTGACACAGACTTCGTTTTAAAAGCAAGGGCTGCAGCAAATGAGGAGGGCTGGGAACATTCCACGTCGTCCAGCCTCTAAGAATTAACTATTCCCACAGCCTGCGTGGCCAGCAGTGTCTTAGACACTCTGCCGCCTCCTTGCCTCCTTTTCTAACTGCACGGAGGAGTGTTGGCTGAACGTGGAAGCCTGTCATGCTTGAAGGAAGATTCAACCACCTAGTTTCTTCCTGGGATCAAGAAACAAGGACAGAGCGAGAGAGGGCTGCCGGAGCAGTTAAGAGCACTTTTTGCTCTTGAGGAGGTCCCAAGTTCAGCTCCCCGTACACACATGGTAGTTCAAACCATCTGTGGCTCCAGTTCCAGGAGATCCAATGCCCTCGTTTGACCTCTACGGAGGTCAAGGGCAGGCATGTGCTGCACAAACATTTACATACACACAAAATAAATAAGTATGAAAAAAACAAAGAATGGCATCCATGGAGGCTTTAGGCTGAAGAGCTACATGAACACCTCAGTCCCACAGCCTACAGCTCCAGACTTAGCACAGCCTCTCAGATGCTCGCCTGAGGTTCTTCTTAGTTTATATTGTATTATACGTGTGAAGCACAACCACGAGCGCAGTAATAATGATGTCACCTGTAACATTAGGGCCATGTTTATCTCCCCGATGGCTGGCCAATGATGGTAAAGGCGGTGGCATATGCTTTCAATCTCAGCACTCAGGAGGCAGAGGCAAGTAGATCTCTGAGTTTGAGGCTAACCTGGCCTACAAAGTGAATTCCAGGATAACCAGGGCTACACTGAGAGATCCTGTCTCAGGAAAGAAAGAAAGCAGCTTTGCTGACTCGGTGAGCTGCTTCCGTCATTCGTGTTAAGCACACCTTAAATGAGCTTGAGAGGAGATGAGATGTGGACACGGTAAACTGTGGGAAAACATGGCTGACAAGAAAGGACAGATGTAAAAGAAAAAACAAAGTCAGGAAAAGAAGCTCTGGCAAGTCCAGACAGAGCTCTTGATGGCTGTCTGGTCATGAGGCAAACAGGCCTGATCAGGTCTGGCAGTCATGAGAAATGGCTGGGGACCAGGACAACACTAGTCAGAAGAGCACAGAGGCAAGAATGCAGGCTACTACTTGTGACTTTGGGTATTTCATTGTTTTAGTCTGTGGGGACAGGGCTTTGCCCCACATGCCAAAATTCTACCACCTCAGCCCTAAAGTACTGAGATCATGAAATCGTAAGTGTGTACCTTCTTGCCTGGTATTCCCAGTAGTTTCAAATGGTCAGAGTTTGTGTTGGCATTTTTTTTTTCTGTTTCTGTAACACACACACACACACACACACACACACACACACACACACACACACACA